GAAGGAAGGAAGGAAGGAAGGAAGGAAGGAAGGAAGGAAGGAAGGAAGGAAGGAAAAGTGCCCCCAATCTTACAAGATGATGCAAGATTTCAGCAATTATACAACTCAAAACTTTCAAAGTTTTAGATTCTTCCCCAATATAATATTGAGCATGTGTTCCAAAATCTCGTGACATCTTGGCATTTATACATTTATTTTTAATTATTTTTGAGGGTTGACGGATGCCCATTGATGAAGAATGTCCAAGCCTTTTATGTATGTGTCCACGTTGGAAAGACTTTGTGTGTGTGCGTGTGTGTGATGATGTCTAGGAAATCTTTATTACTAGTGGGAAAAAAATGCTAGAATAATCCGAACATCTGCCCCATCCCTTCAACCTTGAAATGCTAACTGTATAATTTATAGACAAGGCAGTTCAGTTAAGAACCTGTTATATTGAACAGATTGGGGTACCATGTAATATATTTATCTGAATGTTGATTATTTAGTATATATGTCTTTTATTACTGTATTTTCTTTTACCTATTTATCCTGGAAATAGACACTGTATTTTACCTTTATTTTATTTTATTTGATATGGTCGTAAGACTAATCAATCAATAATCTCTCTCTCTCTCTCCTTCTTGTACTTTGGCCACCCAAAGTTATTATTAGTTGTAGTAATGGTAGGAGACTTCAGCCTATGAGGAATAATATAGTTGCTGGAAAACCTATTTCTTCTGAGTCTGCCAAGGTCTGAGAGATTCATATGCAGAATGTAACATCTAAATTCTAAGAAGAAACCTATATAGGATATGCCTTCATTCCTTTCTACCAATTCTGTTAGCCATAGGTCTAGATCTATAATTGGCCACAGTCTTGGCTATTTCCATGCTTTTAATTCTCCTGCCTGCTACGTAAGAAATTGCAGAAAGAAAGAAAAATAAAAAATACCACCAATGCTGAAATAGAGGATAATTTCAGGGATTTTCTTCAGATACTCAATCATTCTTTGTGGCTATTTTATATAAGCCATTCCAATGCACAAGACACAGTTCCCTAACAGGTTAAGCTTTTCACTGGGGAGACGAACAATGATAATTAGAATGCTCGGCTTTTCTTCTGTTATTCAGTGAGATACAGTTACATAAAGCTTTGTATTCTCAGAAAATTGTAGCACTTCACTTGAATGAGCAAGCTTTTTGTATCATTAATCTTACTAAGTCCTGACATATTTTGTGTTTAAAACAAAGAGAGAAAACACTAATGACCGAACAATTTGCAGAAGGAGAAGGATCAACAGTATGGTAAAGCAAGAGGCATTGTATGGATCTAATAAGAACAGTGAGTATATGGGATGGATTGTCTCTGATCTTGGAGAATGTTTTTGGACACCTAGCCACTGCTTTATTGCTGTAGCTGATTAAAATGAAAGTCCTCACAATTAAATGTTCTTTTTGATGATTTTTTTTTTTTTGCCATGAACTATACACCTCCTAGTCCAGCGAGACATAAATCCTTTGATCTTTTATAGTCACATAAATTCAAGGCTATAAAACAGAATTGGATTTTATTAGTGTGGCTGATGCCAGACTTGTGGAGATGCCATATCTGTAAGGCAACCATGAGTCCACCACCTATTTTCATCCATATTTTTGCACATTAAACTACATTATGATTTTCTGTGACTCAGATTAACCTGTCATATGAAAAAATGGTATTTCAGCAAGTGGCAGTGCAAAATGTTTTTGATCATCTTATTTTAAGTCAATGTTTAGTTGACCAAACATATATGAGCTCAGAGAACAAGGATATCAAGCCATTCCATTGCAAGGGAAGGTCAATTCTGAATGAAAGTTGTCCAGTTTGGTTTCAAATAAAGCCAATATTAAGTAAATGCAATTTAAATAAGACACATCTATTTTGTATTTTATTATCAACAGTCACATAAGATTCCTTATGTCTTGCCTTTTTGAGTCACTGCCTAACTCTTTTCTTGAACACCAAGAAGTTGTGTACAGATTTATCAACACAGATCATGCAGAGATAGGTACTACAGTTGCTGCAACTTCCATCCTCTTTCACTACTGACAGGTACTTGATTTCAAGAACATCTGAACAACTACATGTTTCTCCTTCCTGGTAAAATGGAAGCACTGAAAACAGGTAGTGCTTATTTAGTGAACGACTCATTTAGCAACTGTTTGCAGTTACGATGGTGATGAAAAAATAACTTTGTGACCAGTTCTTGTATTTACCACTTTTGCAGGTCTGTAAAGCAAAGAAAAGCTGAAGTAAGATTGTAAATACAGTTGTGGTTTCACTTAGCGACCACTTCACTTAACAATTGAGTTGCTGGTCCCAATTGCGGTTGCTAAACAAGGACTACCTATAAACAATATGTCCATGCTAGCCTTTACATATGAGTTTATATATAAAGGTTTGCACCTCAGCATTATCAGCTACAGGGAGTGACAAAGCCCAAGAGGATCAGGAAGGCATGCTAACTTGAACATATCGTATTTTCTCCACCCTCCACCTATCTGTTCATTTTCCTATTACTACCCTGGGTTCTATTCTTAAAAGAACAGGCTTCCTGCCTACTACTGCAGGTAGCGTTCAAACAACTGGGCAAACTCAGTCAAAAGTACCCTCTCAGATACTTATCGTAGGCGTAAGAGGTTTGAGATCTGTAACTGTGCCATCAATCAAACTTTTTTAGTCAACTCCATATTTCGAGCCTTAAAATTAACTCTTCTGACAGTTCTGAATGGAGTTTCTAATCCTGTCTCAGGGTCTGCTGGTTTGTACTGGTTTGTTTTGTAAAAAATAAGTGATGTTTTGTTTGTTTTGTAATTAGGGGTCAGACAGCTTTCTAGAGAAAAGTCGAAAGAGAAGCGCTTGCCAATTCTCTGTGTAATCTGAAATCATACGTATAAAAATATTGGAGAAAATTAACTGAACGCTAAAACACAGAGTCTTGCAGAGTAGGAGAAATGGAGAATTAGCATTATTGCCAACTAAGTGACAGAATTTTTTTTTATTATAAACATGATGGTTACTGTTATACTAATCAAATTAGATATTTTAATACTGCTTTTTTCCCTGTATCATTATTTTCTTTTTACAAATGTTTGTTTTTTATGCAGCGTGAAGCATTTTTAAATATCAAATAATAACAGTGGTTAAGATAGACAACAGAATTAACATTTAGGAAGCAAGGACTGTGTTGATAGTGATGATGATGGCCTCTCCAAATTCTTGGCCCTGACACTATGCAGAAAGTTGTGTTTACAGCAAAACATTTTCCCAGGGAAAACGTAAAAGGCCTCCTATTAATTTCACAGCTTTCCCTCACAAGCACCTAGGCTGCATGTGAATTATTGAGCTTTTTGCTCTAAATATGTGGGAGTTTATTCATATTCTAGTTATTCCGGGATAAAATGTCTGCATATTATAACCTTGGTACAAAACAGTCCCATGTGCTGCCTTCTGACTGTAGGGAAAAAATAATGACTTTTCTAATTTGCATGTTTTTTTCTCTCCCTGATGCCAAAACAAAAATTGTTTACTACTTCATAAGAAGAAAAAAAGAGGCATTGAAATAAACTCAGTATGTCCTACATCAGACATTCTTCCCTGCAGTGAGAAGGTAGGAGGGAATCCTGGGACTATTTCAAAAGTTATAAGAAATAATTTCCTCTGAACATCAAAGAAAGTAGAGAATCATGTAAACCTTCCAAAGACCATCCTCTACATCTTGGAGCATGTAACATTGCTTCCACTTAGTCAGACATGAACTGGAAGAAAAGCCAATAGTCAAACTGCCTAAGTTCGTAATAGTATCAAGATGTTGAATATACGCTTTCTATGACAAGTAAGTATCATAAATCTGCAGTCACCCAAGCAGCTCAGCTTCCTCCTTTGGTAATGATGAAAATTGTACTGAAATTTATTT